CCCCCCGGGCCCCCCCCCCCCCCTTCGTTGCCAATGTCAACAAGGATGTAGGGACAACTTTGTTGATTGCACCGCGTTTTCTCAGCGATTTCCGCGAGTTCAACGACTTCTGCAGATGGCTGGAGGAGGCAATCGAAAACGATGAGGTAAATGGCTGTTTTTTTTTTCGCCGACTTTTTACATACCCTGCCAAAACCAGGAAATAAATAAAACCACCCCAATTGGTTTGCATTCATCCGAACAAAGCAAGTTTACTTTATAACAGGAACTCTGCTGTACCATTTGGTTGAGAGCTTCAAATCCTGGACTGTTTATGGAAACTGTAAACCTGCGCGTCTGAGGCACACGCTCGGAAGAGATTGGTAGTGCTAGGCGTTTTCGTAGATTTGTTGTCGGCTTCGCAACGGATAGAATGGTGGAAACTCCGTACAGGAGTCTGCAACGGTGACCTCATTCCATTTGTTGACTCTTCGATTGTATGTGTTGGTAAATGACAACGGCCTGACACGAAACGATAAAATTGGTTGACGTCGTAGCCTATACGATAGTCCGATTAGGATCTTGGTCAAACTCTCCGGCGCAGTGCGTGGCAAAGTTACGCAGTCTGATCGTGTCGCCCCTACAGCCACTACAGTAGTAGGTGGCCCGATGTAGTGACTTGTCGTGGCTAGAGGAGAATACGCCACTATTCAGGGCAGTGCCACTATTCGATATAGCGGCAACATTGCCAATATTGACCCGTGAAAGGCGGCACTATTGCCACACTATCGGAGAATAGGCTTTGATGTGCACGCTACCGCCAGCTGTGCATTAGTCTACCCTGGTTGTGTGCAGCAGTATCCACATGACAACGTAGATCCTGCCCATCACATGTGAAATGACAATTGAAAGCCCAAGCGACAACGAGGCCTGCTGTGCTCACAAAACCTACCTCTGTGTACAGGAAGACCAATGGTAGACTGCAAGAAAATGTCCAAACGTACAGCAGCAGCAAAGCCACACTCGTTTTTTGCCGGCAGACCATGTAGGATGGGAAGGAACACAAGCAAAACACATGAAAAGACAGTGGACGGGAAACCAATTGGTGGAGCATCCAAGCATTGTAAACGTCGAACATTCCCCACCCCAGCGCATCAGTCCCAACCGACACAATGCATTGTACCTGTAGGCGTCAGCCGAATTCTTCCACTATGATTCGCAAAACGCTCTGATGCCAAACTGCGGAATCGGTCTCGCGGTATGTTCTGAGACGAATGCCATCTTTACTTTGCGGAGGAAATATCCGGCCTCGCCGTTTGCACAGACGCTCTAGGTGATGTTATAGAAGACCAAAAAGCGCCAAAAGCCGATGCTTGTAAGTGCCACTAATGGGGGGGGCGAGACGCCCAAAATGTCACTATTGAGGACCCCATCCCGTCTTTCCCGCTTCCTTAGGCTCCCCTTCTATGCCACCACTGCCCATGCTGTGTGCCAGGCCCTCGTTGACCAGGTGCTGGTGGCGTGCTTTCACCCCAGGCATGCCTTCCACGGCCTGGAACAGGACGACGTGCTAAACTACGAAAAGAGGTCTCCGCACCCGACCATCAACCTACTAAGGTGTTGTACCAGGTGGCATGAGCGAGGTAGTATCTGATGACCATGCTAACTCCCGCGTGGATGAATCTAGCGGTCATCGACAACCTAGGGGAATTGCACCGTAGCCTACGGTAGTAGCCTAATTGACAGCACCGTGGGGGGGGGGCGAGGGTCTTGTTTCCACCCTTTTCACCCTCTTGCCGTCCCTCACTGCGGCTGGTCTGTTGAAATGAACATCACCAGTAGCTGCCCATACAACATTCTCGGTGGGGCGATGAACCTCGTACAGAGTGTAGATCGTCGTATGTATCAGACGTACGCTACAGAGACAAGGCGTTAACTGAGCCCCCCGAGTCGGCGCGTGTTTGGTTGTTGCGCAGGGCGGACATGGTGGACGAGTACATCGCCATGGGGAGAACGCTCGGCATCGCAGAGCACAACGAGAGGAGGTTACACCAGGAGGGCAAGGACGTCGTTAAGGCTGCTTTTGAGGCCACACTTGCTCTGGAGTGACTGCTGTAGACCCGCAGGAAAACATCCAACAACTCGGACTCGCCACCATTGCATCGCCCGACCCATATTTTGTACCTGTTGCCTGTGTGTCCAACACTGACTACCGCTAGGGTCGGTGTCCGGGCTAGAGGTCTTACCATCGTCGTTGAATTGTCCTCCCCGTAATGCAACGAGAAGAGTGAAGATTAACGTCGTACCGGCGTAACGGCATAGATACTAGTCTACCTGCTTCGAGGGCCATCTCTCTCGTTGGCTCTTCTCAGGCCCGTGCTGCTGTTGAGCCTCTCTTTCATGTACGAGAAACCGCTTGCCAAACGATTCTTTATGGACAAGTTCTTGCTGACAAAACAAATTGATTGGCGGACAAAACTGCTGTACGTGGAGCGAAAGCCTCCTACTTTGCTGTACATGTGAAAGCCTTCCGCCTGAGGAGCCTTCCCCTCTGGTTGGAGGTTGTATATGAGGGAGATATTGTTGTTGTTTCTCACCTTAGCTCTAGAGTCCACAAAAAATGGGGAGCCCGTGGTGTCGAACCCGGGACATACGACGCCGCGGGGAAACAAAACAAAAATAGGGTACAAACCACTCGGATTAAGAAAACAAAATGATCGAAAGAAAATAACAGGTACCGCACCGACCGTTCGAGAAAAGAGCCCTCGGAAACCGATCAAAATAAAACAAAAACAAAAACAAAGGAGGACGCTTCCCACACCCGCCTACAGAAAAAATCAAAGGGAAACGTACCAGCACCAGGCACTACGCACCAGGGCATGGGAGTACCGGAACAAACAGGACAAAGAGGCGGCAGATGGGCAGACAGCCAGACGTACAAAACAAAAGCAACAAAAGGCAAAAGCGAGATAAAGGTACCCAACACAGCAGAGTAGGCAGGGAGGTCATGAAAAAAGAATCACAGCACAGAGGCCGAAGGCAATACAAAGGACATAGATAAAGGAGTAAAGCATACAGCAGGGAGGGAAACAGAGCGCAGCAACATCAGCCGGGTACATCGTTTGCCACACGTACGTGCTGCCTCGGCCGCCCTACTCGCTGCTACAGCAGTGCCCGGTTGCCGTTTCTTCCCCCCCACCGCCGCTTCCCCGACGCTCTTTCTCTCCGGTCCTGAGATGGCCGTACTCTGTGCTTCTGCTTCCCCCGCGCGCTGGCANCTCTTCGGTCCTGAGATGGTCGTACTCTCTGCTTCTGCTTCCCGCGCGCGCTGGCGCTTCGCGGACGCTTCCGCCTCCTGCCTGTGCCATTTCCTCATGAACCATGCCGCCCCGTCCTCGACCTTGTTGTACCACACCTCCGAGTTCTTGGCGCTCTCTTTCCATTTCCCCCCTTCCTTTTCGTCTCCCATGTTGAAGGCCACGAGGTCCTCTCCTAGACGAGACACCCAGTCGCTCTCCTACCCGCTCCGGTATCCCACGCCCCCCGCCATCACTCCTAACAGCATGCGCTTGGGGAGGCGGCTGTCCTCCATGCGCATAACAAAGCCCGCGAAACACAGTCTCCGTTTGCGCACGGTGGCCTCGATGGTTTCCTCGCAGCCTGCCTGGATGAGGGCCTGGGCATAGGACAGGGGGCGGTCTGAGCGTTTCCGCTTGCTCCAGCCGATGCACCGTGTGAGGAACTGGCGGTGGGTCCCATTGAGCTTCGTGTAGTGCTCCGCTGTTAGGCTCCACGAGGCGCACCCATACAGGAGAGTCTCCACCACTTCAGCCTGGAGAAGCCGGATCTTGAGCTGGCGGTCGGCCCGTCGCCTGTCGTACATCGAAGCACTGTTCCGGCGGTAGCACTTCCACGCTCGGCAGCTGCGGCTCGTGATCTCCCGGTCGGCCTTCCCGTCCGCGGAGATGGTACGTCCGAGGTACACAAACCGATCTGTCTGCTTGTACGTCTGGCCGGCGGCGCTGACCGTGAACGGGCGTTCCTCGATCCCTTTTGGCAGCATGCACATGATCTCTGTCTTTGGCTCCGACACCATCAGTCCGAACAGGCCGGCCACGCGCACGATGACCGACATCATCTTCTCGAGACTCTCCGGCGAGCGCGAGACGATGGCCGCGTCGTCAGCGTAGAGCATGGCCCACAAGGCCTCCGCGTCCGTCACCACCGTCGTCTTCCTCCCCGCCGACCTGCCCTTCTTGCCCGTGTACTCCACTTGTGTCCCGATCTTGACCATGTCCGCCGTCACCTTGGGGTCCTTGTCGAACTCGGCCACGGCGACCATGAGCATCGCGGCAAAGAACAAGTTGAACAGCAGCGGGGCCAGGTTGCATCCCTGTCGGAGGCCTTGGCCCACGTCGAACCATTCCGAGTACTGCCCGTCGTCCGTTCGGACGCGCGCCCTCATGCCCTCGTGGAAGTGGCGAATGACCGCCAGCATCTTCGGGGGCACGCCGAAGCGTCGGAGCACGTCCCCCAATAGGTCTCGGTCTACCGAATCGTATGCCTTGGTGAGGTCGACGAAGCACGCGAACACCGCAGTACTCTTCTTCCTCGCAAGCTCGTGGAGCGCTGGATGGCGAACAGCATGTCGAGCGTTCACCGGTGTGGGCGGAAACCGCTCTGCTCCTCCGGGAGGATACCCTCTCGCTCGCAGTAGTGGCTCAGTCGTGTAGCGACGACCTTAATTTAGCAGCACCTTGGCGGCGTGTGCGAAGCGAGATGCCCCGGTAGTTGCCGCACTCCATCGTGTCCCCCTTCTTGAACAACAGCACTTTGATGGTGGCATCCTTCCACTGCTGTGGTACGTCCCCACAGTCTGCCACATGTCCACGACAATGGCGTGGCGTGGAACTCGCGGAGGAGACCTTGATCTCCGTCCAGGAAAAGCTTGATCAGCTCTGCCAGTAGGTCGTCCGGCCCGACGGCCTTGCTGTTGGCCATTTCCCGTACCGCTTCCTCAACCTCCCCGAAGGCTTGGATCGGAGAGACGTCACCCCTGGGGCTCCGCACGTACCACACCACAACGAACGCACCGGAGCCCGTTTTTCCCGGTGCTCTGAATCAGGCACGTTCGTTCCCCGAGATGCTCGGCACGTTGGCTATCCCGTCTTTCCCGGTGGCCCGTCTCTCCTGTTTTTCAATCTCTTCTTCGCCCTATCCCTTTCCGATCCCTGCACCAGATCATCTGTCCTAGGACCTGTCGTCAACCCTACTGCTGTAGTAGCTCAACAGACACAGCGCCGTGGCCCGCAGAGAGAGGTAAGAACATCATAGCCTTCCGGTAGTCGTGCATTAACACCAACCCTCAAGAGATCCGTATCCCTGCTACCGTGTGGGCAACTGAGTAGAAGGTGGTACGCATCCATCTACGATTGTATCAATCTCGAACAGCGAACAGGAAGAGTTATTTTCAAAAAATAATTTGGGAGGGGGCAAAGTCGAGGTAGTCTTCACGTAGACCAACAGGTAAACTAGTTCAACGTTCATACAACGTCGTGGTATGTGCGAGTGAGTCTCTTGCTAATGTCGTACTCTGGAGAATCTAGCCGAGAATCTTGACAAGTAGTCTACAGAAGATCTTTGTGTAGAAAAGTACAGATATCTTTCATGCAGGGAGGACCTGCCCAATCCAGATCGCTCTCAAAGGGTGTTCACGTGTCTTGAAGTTCGTCAGCAATGTGAACCCTACAGACAGGTTCGTGTAGAGGTGTGTATGCTATGGTGTACGTGGAGCGACATATGAGATGCAGCACCACAGCAGTGCAGCAGCAGTAGCGCAGTAGCTCATCGAAGAGCAACAAACTACGTAACTACGTACATAGTGCCGCGACCGAATCGGTCGAGCTTCCTCCGCCGAAGAAGTTGATGTCTGGGACAGCACAACATCATATGTTCCCCCGCTTCGAGATTCGAGAGACGCACAACTGTGCCAAGCCACGTTAGGCAAGATCACCCAGCACCCCGCCCGCCCGCACGTCCCCCCCCCCCCC